GTGATATCATGATACTTTTTTCAGGTGTATATACAAAGAAATTATCAAAGTAAAAGTAAATTAGGAGGTAATAACCATATATTACTATGATAATTTTTCAAGTCGTATACATAGAAAGGTAGAAAAAAGATTCTCAAGAAAATTTAGAAAATTCATTGTGTGAGAATTTGTTGCATCTATATATGTTTGAGTTAAAGTATCCTTTTGAAGTATGGATGAGTGTTTGTAATTGAATGATGAGTGAGAAATTTGTGTTTGTAATTGAGTAATGAGTGAAAACTTTGTGTTTGTAATTGAGTAATGAGTGAAAACTTTGTGTTTGTAATTGTGTAATGAGTGAAGAGTTTGTGAGATATGAGTATTTGAAACATAGCCAAGTTGTAAAATCCTTATCTTCTAGAATCATGATGAATTTCTACAGAATTATCTGAGGTAAAATTGAATGAGATTCAACCCAAAGTCATTGTAGCCATTTAGGTTAGTATTTGAAAATGAATATTTAATGCTTTCAGTACATAAATGTCACACATACAACTTTAGTTAAATGAATTAGTGTGTGTAGTTAGTAGACTAACTACACACACTCTATACACACACAAATTGCTCGCATCAAACTTCAATCATGTCAAATTAGAGATACACTCTCCTTCAAATTTACCTTTGACAGCTTCTATGGCCCTCCGCATCTTTTATGTCCGTCTTAAATTTTCATCATTGTACGTCATTAGATGACCAACCAAACCTTCCTTGCAATGACTTAGTCAATCATGTGAAAACAAAATTAGTATTAGGGTTTTAGAATTCTTGCTTCCATCTCTTTATTTTTTGTTTTGAAGATCAATGATCATCCATTTGTAAATCTCTGTTTCTATTGTCATGAACTCCGTTAATGTTTTTTCACTTTTCAGTTTGAAATCATCAAGTTTCGCCTTTGATCATCTGTTAAAAGCACCTTGTCAAGCTTAAAAATACAACGAATGATTCACCGCAATAGAGACAATTCATGACTTGGACAATGTTTAACTCAGAACTCTGTCATGTAGTTACGAGTCGGCTCACGCAGTTTAGACACTTACTATATTTAGACGTGGAAATAGGGTTCGAGTCACGAGGGGTATAGAGTCGGGGACGGCTCGAAGAACGTTAGTTCTTCGAGTCGAGCCTGGAAGCGTTGGGAGCGTAGAGTGACTTTCCCCTTTGCGTCGACCTGGATTCTCCGAGTGTGGAGTGGGTTGGGCTTGACTCATGTTTGTGACGGTGACGGTTTGTTGCCAGTAGGGTAATTGACCGACAGGAATTCCAGTGAGAAATCTCCTGTTTATTTCACTCGAAGAACTCGTTTTGTGACATTTTGCGTCAAAGTTTCAGGTTCGGTTCTTTCCGGTGCGGATTGGTGCCGATTTGGTGAGAGTATTTTACAGTCAGGAAGAGTGTAACGAGGACTAGAGCTTCAGGGTAGTACAGAATTTCGAATTTTGAAATTCTGTCGGAATTTGCCGTCAGCGTTTGAATTCTAGGTTTTCGTGAAATGTCCAATCTGATTTCGTGACATAAGTGGAGATTCGAAGTTAGCTTTGACAGTCTCGAAACAGGTGTTGGTTCGCAGAGGAGAGAAGCGGCGAGAAGAATGAGTTGCAGTGGTTCATAGTTTCAGGATTTAGTTTATGAAGGGGCCAAAATTAGGCTGGCAATTCGGGAGCTTCTGCAGCTCGAGCATATATTTCAGAGGTCATTAAGCTCACGACTCTGATGAAGAACTTGTTTGGCTCGGCGAATGTAGCGTCGGATTCTCGTCAAGCTTCATGTGAGAATTCTGCGACGGTGAGGGTTCTCTTCTAGTCTCCGAACTTTTGCATGTTTACTAGTGAGTCGGAGTGTCAACTCCTGGACTGCTGACGACGGTTGAAGGAGATTCAAGGTGGGCCAGAGCCATTTGATGTGCAGCAAATTTTTGGTTCAGTATAGTGTGGTCTGGCTTGTAGGTTGGGGAATTGGCCGAAAGTCGGCTCTTGACAGACAGATCCGGAGCTCTTGAATTCAATTGAAATAGAATTTTCTGAATTTGAATCGAATTCGAATTCTGTGAATTCAAATTGAATTCGAACTGAAGAACGAATTCGCTGATCCCTGCCTTCGTATTCCCATTTTCCTGAGCGATCAGCGTGCGAGAACAGCGAGAATCGCTCAGCGGTTGCTGCAGATATTTTTGGTTGGATTTTGGTCGGGTATGGGTTTGTGCTCGGGGTCTTAGTCCAGGTCGCAAAGCGCGGAGATGGTGTAGCAGACTTGGAGCTGTGGATCTGTTTAATTCGAGTTTTTGTGACAGGAAATCGGAATTGAGTTGAGAAAGCCTATGGTAGTTTTTTCTCATCAGAAAAAGATCTATTATCATCTGTAGCTTTTCTGCGCATAAATCTCTGCATTGTGCTGGATTGAGTGTGCTTCGTTTGCCCTCGCATTCCTGGGGAAGAGAGGAAAGGGCCTAGTCTTTGCACGCCGCTCAGGTTTGATATGATCAGGTGGAGTTAGTTTATACGAGGAGCAGCGAGCAGATTTTAAGAGGGTTTTGGCTCTTCGGGAGCTGGGAGAGCCGTGACGACAGTGGATGCCAATAGGGCTGCAACTCTGGCAGTAGTTAAACTATGAATTCTTCCCGTTTATGTCATTGATCTTGCTGTTTGTGTATTGACGCAAAATTGACGGAGAATGACGTGTAGGGGTGACGCTGATTTCCGGAGTAGTTTTACTCCAGTGTGCTGGCGATAGGGGGCTGGACTTGATCACCGGCCGGCCTATCTGTGATTCTCTCACGGTGAGACTGGAGTGATGACCAGTAGACCGTGAGAGTATTCTTGCTATGATGACAGGTTAGGTTGCCCATACCACTTAGCTAGTAGGGCTAGAGTAGATTAGTGCAGCACAACGTCAGGGGCGGATTGGATTATTGGATGGAGATCTGGCAGTGGTGCCAGTTGAGGTTTTGTCATCACGGAGCAGTCTAGTGGTCCTGTTGAGGACCGCGGTGGATTTACGCGGAGTGGGTTGAAGTATCGGCTACCTTCACCTATCTCGCCAGTTGTTGCGGAAGAGGACCGATGTAATCTCCTCATCTTTGATCACTGCTGTCAGTCATTTACATTATTCATTTAAACTATGAAAATAGAGCAGAATGCAAAATTTGATTTCTTAGATCAAAGACTTATCATATACTTGCGGAAAGACTTGCTCTAGAGAAGCTCTATAACATTAAACATCTCATGCTCCTTGGATGCTTCTACAAACTTTATCAATTTTTTGTGTTTTACTCTACGTGAAATCTTGACTGCTATATTTTGATATGGATACTTGCACTCATAAACTTTTCCCTATGCATCTTTCTTGACTGAACATTCCTTTTTGCCACCACAGACCCAAATGATCTCAACAATATGCGGACTTAGAGCCTTCAACCATCGTCCACTTCTGTGATGTTGTCATCTCTAATCTAATCACGCCTCATCTTTTTTCTCCTGAACAGCATCAAATCAGCTGCCAATATCTTTTGCTTATTCTTCTCTGCAACAAAATGCATTAACAATGCTGAACACAACTCTCCCCCCTTGCTTCCTTATTAGAATATTAGACTTTTGCAGACCTCTTCGCTGAGTTTCTACATTTCCTTCACTAAGTTACTGTTTTTGTATTGACGCTGTAGCAAGCGAAACAAACGTCCATTCTCCTCTCATGAAAAACAGATCCCAATTATTCTATGTACTTTCTCATCCTCTCCCGAGACATTGCACGCAGTAAAGTTATTCAAAGTTGCCAAGGATTCAACTTCTACACCACATATTCTTTCTTTCCTAGTTCACATTTATGATAAACTGTCTCAACAATTTCTGCAACCGCCTTCATCTTATGATCATAGTCTATTGCTGCAGTAGCGTCTCTATATGTATTCACATTAATGGCTTTGGCAGTGCCCACAACAGTCGCGGTTCCAACTTTTGCATCTTCTTTAATGACAACGTGATCTTCAGGTGGGATTGCAAGTGTCTTTGTTGCCATCAGCTAGACCAGTTCAGTTGCTTCGTCTCCGGAAACTTTGATTGCATCTATTAGCGCGAATACAATCCTTGTTTCTGACTTTTCTGCCCTTGCAACAGTTCTTATTATCCTTATCACATCCATATTGCTAATCATGACGCACTCATCATTCTCTTTCTTGGCTTACTACGATGGCATAATTTCTTTTGAACCTCCTTCCTTACCTAATTGTGCCCCCTTTTCCAAGCTCTGAAGTATTTTCAAGATGACTGTTACCTTTATCTTTCAACGAGCTTTGACGGAGGAGTTTTCCACCTCAAACATCACTTGTTGGTGGTGTTTCAACACCTCCATCACCCCTCCTTCCCTTTTATCTCCTATCTCATTGATCACAAATGTTACTCCTCCGCTTTGAAAGCTCTGCCCTACCATTTTACTCTCCGGATGGAGTGTGTCCAAACCATTCTTCACAAACTATTATTCTTCTTTTTAAATCCCTTTTGTCTTTGTGCAGTCTCTTATCTTCACCTAGCTCTACTTCCTTGTCATAAGTATGTCCAACTTGATTGAAAGTCTCAACAATAGTCCTAACATCTTTTTAGGCTGCGACTAACTTTTGATCTTTCCGTTTGATTTCCGTCCACATTAATTTCACCAAGATTGAGGATTCTTAAATGATGCGTAACACTAACCACCACACCCGTTGTGAGGACATTTTCAATCATGTAATTCACTTGTAACGTGACTGCAAGATATTTTGATCTTTAGGATGCCAGAACATCTTTTGTATGACAATGGCACCACAAAGGTGACGGGCATGGAGGACTCGAAACTCTTCAACAAGCTTTCGTAGCGCTTGGAACTGAGGAGCAAGGTATCTCTCGGTTCATAGTACTGTTTCCGCCCCACGCACTGTCTCATGAGGAGATCCTGAAAATCCTGTAACGTTACTAGGCTTATTGAAGGTGGACGACGTCGAGAGATCATGTAGCCGGGATCGTGAAGACCCGGCATCGATTTGTGCTCATGAGGATCCTCGCAAGAAACCAAATCGGTCGCGGTGCTTCATAAGGGAGTGCTGTCCATGCTTCAAAAGCTTCGGAGGAAAGACACCCAGGACATAGGCTACTGAACTTCTCTTGCCTCTGCTTTGACGCCAGTGACTACCTGATTGGCTGCATGAAAGGTATTAAGCCCTACGTCATAAATGACGTCATATCATTCATTCTACACACCCTTCAGTGAGCAGAGAGCCTCGAGAAACCTCGGCTGAATCCTGCTCACTGAAGGGTGTAGAGAATGAGTGATATGCTTCTTTCTTTCTGATGGACTCACATTCTCGGGAAAAGTCAGTTCGGCACATTGCTGAGATCGCAGCGAACGTAGCTCTGCTTCCAGGAGCAAAGGCCCGTCATTGCCTTATGACCAAATCTCCGCTGCATGCTCCATTTTGAAGGAGCTACAGTCCAGTGAGGGCGAAGGCTTTCCCACAAGCCATCGAGACCGCAATGAACAGGCAACAACGACAGCTTGCGGCGGCTGGAGGCTGTAAGCTGAAAAGTGGAGATACACATGTTTCTCGAACAGGTATCAAAGCCGAACCTGGGGCTCGAAGGAGAATTAGTTGAAGGACAAAATAAGACCAACCCCATCCAGCTTTACAGTGAAAATCAGTGAAAGGAACACTCTGTGGTGCACTGGATGACGATTTGGAAGTGGACAGTTGGCTTTCCTTCCTGTCAGGCCCAGAAACTGGAGGTACTTATTCCACATGAGTGGCAAAAATCATGGTCCTGGACTTCAGGTCGCAAGGCTTCCTGTGTCTATTTATCGCCCTGGGCTCACTCAGCAACAGATATGTGCATTGGTAAGGTCGATAGCACAATGTACAGAAATATGCAAGGATGCTTTCAGATGAGATCCTAGCCAAGAAATCTGAAGAAACGTCGGACACATATTCGTGTTTTTTCGACTGCTTATGTCTTAGGTCTTGTATGTATATTCTATGGTTGCTACTGTAAAATCAATTTCAAGTATTGTGCCCAGAGAGAAGTGGGATACGCAAGCTGTTAGGCTTATGTTTACATGTCGTCTTACGTTGTTATCAATTGATTGTGTCCAAAAAAAAGTGAGTCAGATTATATGCACGGATAACAGTCAACTCCTTTCTCACTGCTTATCACGGCCTTCGAGTGACGGGCGACACCAATTCAAAAATTAAGGCAAGTGATATAATTAGCTACAATTTAAAAAGCAATCACACCTTTGTAGCTCTTTAGTTGAAGACGGCAAAGTTTAACTTGAATAGAACACTGGTTGACAGTGAATCGAAAATAAAAATCTATTACATCTACTTGGCTCATGTGCCTTATGAAACCCATGCATCAGAAATCTACATCTGTAGTTGCAATATGCTGTATGATTTGACCCTATTAGATTTGTTTACGCCTCTTACATGTTGTTACTTGTAATTTTCAAATGATGCGCTCTTTCATTATAGCTTATTCCCGAGAATATTATTTCAGCTTTATTCTGATTCGCTTTCTTATACCTTTATTTTGGGGTTTTTCTAGAGCTGCTCGATATCCTGAAGCACAATAAGGACATCGAACACCGTTTTCAAAACCTTTCCAGCCTCCATACCAATTAATAGCACGTATGTTAGTCAACATAGGAGTGATCGACTAAACTTCATGTCATGCAGAGTCCAACAAATATGGATCCTTGTTTTAGTCCTGTCATGCATGTTGTAAATCCCCATAGACTCTTCTCTCTGGATTGAAATCTGACGAATATACCTATTCATCGCGTGCAGATTCTTAGAAGAGAAGCTGTTGGATTCCATTATGTTGCTGCTTTGTGGGCAATCCTTATGGGAAAATCCTTTGTAAATTATCGGTGCTGCTGCTAAATACGACGAGTGGCTGAAGTTTAGATATAGTTTTGTGAAGAAGCCGGTTTCTTTTCACTCAGTTTAAGTAGATAGGATTATATAAACAAGAGATTCCAACTTCTTCGTACCAAATATACGTGAAATTTCATAACTTCATCGCTTAGTTCTTATCAATGTTTGAGAAAGTTGACGGAGCCCAAATCGAGACTGTGAGGACCGAACCGACGCTTGTTGCAAAAAGGAGTACGATAGAATGAATTCGAAAATTGTAATTTGTCCTGTGGGTGGGAGCAATGGAAAAGCTATGTTTCCTTTACCATCTGTTAGAGTGCTTAATAGTAACAACACTTACCATCGCTGTACATGCAAGTGCGTGTTTGTCGAACAATGTACACTACGTTCGAGTTGTGCCGCCATCAAGCTTCATGACTAATTCTTGTGAAGATCAGTAGTTTAGAGGTTTATATACACACTTTTACATAAATGTGTATCTCTTTCTATATATATATATATATATATATAGAAAGAGTTTGGACGCTCAAAAACTGCAGTGTCACTACAGCGCTAACACAACACGAGCGGCATTGAAGTCAAGTGTATATTGCTCTTACAAATAAAAATCCCAGCATATCTGTACGTTAGTTCCTCAAATCGTCAACACGAATTACTACTCGGAGAAAATGATCACATAATTTCCTTTGCCAGAATTAATGGTAGTTGGTGTGATGAATTAAATATAAAGGCCAGACGTACTCAATATTTGTCACTTCTGCTTCAATCAGCATTAGTATCAAATCTAAAGTTCGTACGATGTATAGAATGTTTTCAGGTGTTATTTACTGCAAACTTGATTTTCGTATTTGATTAACAATCCTTGCCAGGCTGGGAAGTCGTCTTCAGACTGTTGACGATGTTGAAACGGGAGAAGTCTTCATTGTGACTGTTCGCGTGAACACAGGAGATATCGCCTAACATTTTTTGACTGGCAAATCAATTGCTACTCACTCTCAGACAGGGCTGCCTTTTATCAGAGTCCAACTTTTGAAGTTCGTCCAAGTTTGAGAAGACTTGAGAGCCTTCTGGCTTCGCTGTATCTAGTTCTCGCCCTCGGTAATCTCATTCACAGGTGACATTTTGCGGGCGTATAATTAGAAGAGATCCGAGGCAAGTCTCTTGAAGAGAATCTGAAGAAAACCCCGACCAGTGGGAAATCTGCAGCATAAGCCTGTAGCCTTACGTGCTGGAGCGAGAACCTGGTCAGATGTAAATCAGTGTGCTCGATCGTCGAATACAATTGGGGTCGGAGGCAATCTCCACTCTTTGAGAGAAGAAAGATGGACACGGAAATATGGAAAAGCCATCAATTGAACTTCGTAAGCGCAGTGTTTTATGTTCCTCGTTCGAGTATGTTGTGTCCAGTTGAAATACAGTACATCAGAAAATGACATGAAAGGCGCAAGTCGAAGACTCGAAGTTCTTATTAATGTAGAGGATCTGCGGGTCACAACTCCTTGACTAAACTGTGTTTAAATGGGTCCACGAAGCAAATTGTACATTACTATTGATGATCACCTAAGTCAAATAATCTCATGGAAGTTTACGAATGTATAACCAAAGTATCTTATTACAAATACAGATAATTCTATAATTTCATCATATGGTTCCTAAGAGAACATATGAGCATCGTATGGATCTCTTGATGCATCATCATCCGCTAGTTTTATCATTCTTCATCTGTTTCTTTTCCTCCCTTACCATCCAGAACATTCTTATTGTGAAAAAGAAATTATAGTAAATATGTACAACCTTTTGACTTGCTTGGATTACAATTATTCACACAGTCTTGATCGAAGTTTACTATGAGGGTATGCAATCAGCACATTACAAACAAGCGCGTATATTCCTTTTCACTCAGATTGTTTTCGTTTGAAAATCAGACACTGAAATTTTGATCTATCTGGTTTAGTACGCATGTTGATGATTATATAAATATATATATTCTTATGATTATAAACATACATGATGTGAAAAAAGGTGAAAGGAGAGTAGTGTAAGAGAAAACTCTTGCCCTGAGCTTGATCTATCATCAATGGATATGGAGACATTTCAAAATATATTGAACTTGTTAACGCCATTCGTATTCATTCATTTCCCATTATCTTTCGACTTAATACATCAAAGCATTTGATTTCAATATTTTTTTAATAGATACTGAGAAAGCTCTGACTTTCAGTCACTTTTTAACAAAACCTTTACCATTATATTTATTAAATATATCACACATCCACGTCAATCGCTTGGGTTTCAACTGCATAATGTAGCATCATGTATAAGTTAAAAGCTTAACCTGTCTAAATGGCTTTCGTTGTATTTTGATAAATCTTTTATATATATATATATATATATATATAAAATACTGGTTATAAAAAATAAATTTTTTTGGAAAAATAATTTTTTTTCTCAAGTTTGTGCTGGTCATGTAAATTTTTTTTCTACTTTTATTTAAAAAATCTCAATCATTGTCTGAATTTCTGTAATTGTGCGTTGCCCTGGAAGGTATGAAGGCCGTGATTAAAATTTTTACATGTAAACGTTCTGAAATTTTATTCATAGTTTATATTTCTGTTTAAGATTGATATGATACAAGGCCAAAAAAGTCATATTTTTACTCCAGTATTATGACTTTACCACTATTATTATGATTATTTCGATATGGTATTGATCACCTAGGTTCATGGTGATATCTCTCTTGTAACATAATGTATGTCATAGGCAAAAACTTATATTATATAGGGCAAAAAAATGCCTTTTTGTACTCGATGACTCTGAAGTTACCAGTATTACTATGATTTGGTAATGATAATCTATGTTTAAAGTAATTATCCTTCTTGTGACATAATATGTGTCATAGGACAGTGCTCAATCTTCATAAGGCTTCTACATTATCATACATCGATTCTTGTCTTAAATTCGATTCGTGAGAATGGAAAATAAATCTAACTTTGAAAAATAGATATGCATCAAGGTATTAACAAACTGAAGCTTATGAACAAATTTGAAGTTCATACAAAACAAAAATGTAGAACTTGTTATAAATGAAAATAATACAGACTTTACTTCCAACTAAACAGTATATAATATTCGTCGTTGGAGTTGGAAATTCATAACACGAAATATCATGATCCTGCATGTGATCACCAAGGATCGCAATAGTTCGTTTTTTCACATCTTTCCTAGTAATTGAAATGCGTCAAAAGAAGCAAAGTTCTTCTCATAGTCAGAGCCAGCTCTGATTCAGATCGAGCTGCGCACATGGACATTGGAGTGTCCACCGTTATTGTTTGTTCAAAAGCGTCCATTAGTAGCAGCAGCACCAATGGATAAGACAGTCCAGAGGATTCCAATTGCAGCAACAGAATGGAAGATAACAACCTTTGGTGTCGATTTCTGCGTACAGAGTTACACAAACAGCCATAAGATTTCGTCAAGAAAGAAGAGAATGTGATATTTCTGGAAACGGGGAAGAATTGAATTCATCTGGCAATCAAGGATATAAAGTATAAGACATGTCTCTTACTGGATTTAGCCTGTTGATCTTTAGCCACAGCCATTGCCACCAGGCAGAGAATCAAAACAATGTAAAGGAAAATCTTCAGCTTGCGTGCCATATTCTGAGAAAATGCAGAAGAAGTGGGGAAATAAAGTCAGAAAGAATGGTAACTGAACAAGGAGCTTCTAAGCTGTGTTTCCTGTACTTGAAGGAGGTATGAGGTGGGAAAAAAACAAGGCTAGGGTGTGCCGAGGGCTTTATATACTGAAAGACAGAGAGAGAGAGAGTGTGTGTGTTTGGAATAGAAACTACAATTATATATATATATATATATATATATATATATATATATCTATCTATCTATCTATCTATCTATAAGACATTTATCACCTGTATGATGCTACATCATGCAGTTGGAGGGAGAGAGAGTGTTTGGGTCAGAAACTACAACTTTATATATATATATAAGAGATTTATCAAAGTACAATGTCAGCCATTCAGACATGTTAAGCTCTCAGAAGTATGATGCTACACCATGCACTTGAAGGGAGAAAGAGTGTTTGGGTCAGAAACTACAACTTCATATATATGTAAGAGATTTATCAAAATACAATGAAAGCCATTTAGACATGTTAAACTTTCAACAGTATGATGCTACATCATGCAATTGGAGGGAGAGAGTGTGTTTGGATCAGAAATTAGAACTTGATATATATATATATCACACAAGCTAAGTTTCAACTGTATGATGCTAATCATGCAGTTGAAGCGAGAGAGAGTGTTTGGATAAGAGACTACAACTTAATATAAATATCAGAGATTTATCAAAATAAAACGAAAGCCACTTAGAGAAGCTAAGATTTCAACTGTATGATGCTACATCATGCAGTTGAAGGGAGAGAGTGTGTTTGGATCAGAAACTACAACTTTAATAATATATGAGAGATTTGTCAAAATACAATGAAAGCCATGTTAAGCTTGTACTATATGATCAAGACTCTACTTCCGGGGCTTACAGAATATACCCCATCATATTTTTTAATGAACAAGATCACGTCTCTTTCATTTACACAAATTTATAAATTTAGTCTAGAGCTTCTGAAGGTCCGCAACAGTATAAGATAGAGCAACAAGAATGCACCCACTTCCAAACCTCTTCACTTTCAAGCAATCTTACTTTCCGAGTTCCTGTTAATTGTGAGTTGTCTACATTTAGTGAAAAAATGGCAACATGGTTGCACTTTGTCTTCGTCATTTTCTTTATTCTCCTCCTTACAGGAATGACAGTGGCTCGAGTTCATGAAGACGAACCTAGTAAGTACCATCTCTCTATTCATATATCACTAATTCTCTGAGGTTCGCTTGATCATTTCAAACTTTCATTACATTGAAGCGGTTCCAGTGACAATGATCAAAAGTGAATACTAAATCAACGCTTCTTATAGTCATACATTCTGCAAAGGCATTAGATTTAGATTCAGCTGTTTCTTGAGTGAAATCTGATGAGTGTAAGTGTTTACTTGCTTACAGAGCTTCAAAAAAGCTGCTGGATTCCACTTTGTTGTTGCAATCCGCAGGATACTTTCAGCTGCTTCGTCCATTGGTGCTGTTGCTAGATTTTGCCATAGACGGTTCAGCATGAGTGGTGGACATTCCAATATAAATTGGCTCATCTGAATGTGTGAAAAAGCATGTTTCTTAACACATCGGAACTATTATACTAAAGCCAAGGAGCATATTTCAAAAAAAATATTATTTGAGCATCACTATACTGCGTAATTTAGCTCCTGTTCATATAAAGACATTGGTGAAGTTGCGATGAATAATTAATTTGTTTCGTTTGTTTTTTAAACTAAGCGAAAGGAGAATTGACGTTTTCATAAAATGAACTACGATATGGTTTAAAAGCCTTTGTGTCCTGCGCTCTTCTGGGCACACCCAGATTTATACAGTGCTGTACCTCTCATATGGTCAAACTTAATACAACGACAAGGATGTGGATGTATAGTGAGTCTCTAATGTCCTACTGTATGGCTCCGATCGGGACTTCGTGAATAAGTGACAGAGGGTGAAGATTGTGTAGGAATAATGACACTAACCATCTTATATTCCAGGAGCAGAAAATTCATGTCCATCCCAAAGAAACTGGATCGCATTTTTTCGCACAGAATGAACTATGATTTGCTCTAAAATTTGTCATTATGCATAGCTATCATGGCAAGTTTTTAATCACGGAAGCTATGCATGCACTCTGTGAAATGCAAAGGGTTCTGTAATTTATTTTTGGTTGTAGTTTCTGATCCAAACACTCTCTTTACCAAAGCAACTCCCACGGATCCTAGATTGGATGTGACCAACACGGTACGGTATGGGGTTTGCTCCCTGTTGGGAACTATCCAAACAAAAGTGACAAAAAAAAACAAAAAAAACAAAAAGAAGCAAAAACCACTTAAGTAAAACAATTTATTGTATTTTTTTCTTTGTTCTTCATAGCAACTGGGCATCAATAAACACCAAATTTGATAACCTGCCAAATTTTGCTCAGATCTGCTTGCGTCCCCTGAAAGTCTGGGGCCTTTTGCATGTGATTCAAGATTTCCTTTGCATTATTTTGAACCGGTCAGTCATTCACTAGGTTGTAGATCGTCCGACCGGCAGTCGTTTTATGCATCGTAAGTACTATTGCCCCAATAAGTGCTACTAATAAAATTAGACTAGAAACCAAAAACAAGAAAAAATAGGTTGTATAAACCCATGGATCGTGAAAAATCGTTACTACTAGCAATCACTGTCTTTTTTATTACTTTTTTCTTTCTATATCCCTCTCCCTTGTTTTTAGTTACTCATCAAATGGCACTTTGCCTATGTTTATGAGCTTGATGATTTCTCGATGAGGGCGCGGGAGGACGCGGCACAAAAAAAAAAATCTAAGCTAAATTATTTTGTTTTTTGGAAATAATTGGAGTTGGATACAAAGCCAGTACTAATGCACAAGGCTCTATTTTATATTTAAAATTAGGATTTAGTCATGAGATTCGACTTCAAGTTACACCTTCAGTTCGCGTTTTTTGCTTAAAGCCTAATCTCATTTGTTGTACTGGAATGGATCATCAAAAAGTCACTCAATTTGCTGCCACTGTCAAAAGTTGTAAACCTCCTGAAGTTTATAAAGGGAAGGGTATACACCTTCAACACGTAAGGACGAAAACAACGTTCGACTTGCATGTGTTAAGCATATCGCTAGCGTTCATTCTGAGCCAGGATCAAACTCTTTTTTTTGAGTATGATTATTTAATCTACGCATAAATAGGATTTGAACCTATACAAACTTACAATATAAATCATCTTGCGTATCACTAACCAATTAAGCATCCTACTAAGAAATAAGGCCCCCAGGGCCCAAAAAATAGAACAAATATTTTCATACATTTTATATGATGCTTCATCTTCGGGTTTCAGCCCTAAAACACACCCCTATAGCCTGTGGGCGGGGAAGCCACCGTGGTTGTGGTTTTGTCTCTAGTCAATTGCTTTGGTTGGGTAAACACCAAAATTTTCTTCGTCACTTCAACTCAGTGGGCTGGCGCGGGCTGCAGCGTCCAATGGCTACTCCGGATTCGGTTATCTAGGTTTCTTGGGCTGGGAAACTTTACAAGTCTGGGTTAGGGCAGGTTTGCGCCATTTGTGGTGATAAGAACGTGGCGATCCTTCACCTAAGGGCTGTTCGAGACGTTCGAGCCAAAATTAGAATAAATAAGACAACTTACCAGGAATGGTTAGGGGCGTACAAACGAAAACAGACGACAAGAAGAGCTATCCACTCTTTTTTGTGCCATTCAGGCTAGCTCATAAGCTAGGACACAGGCTCAACTTGCAGAGGAGCCATAGTAACATGGCTTACTCGGGAGCTATATATTTTATTTGAAAAAATCAAAAGAAAAATTTTGAGAGCCGGGCACTATGGTAAGATGTGAAAACACCCGATCCCATTTCGACCTCGATATGTGAAATCGTCTTAGACCATATGTACTGATTCATCAATTTCGGGAGACATGGTCCACGCCCGGACAACGCACTTGATCAAAAAAAATAAAAATATATACGACCAAAATGAAATTACTAAAATACAAAAATGCTGTTAGACAAACGCAGATAGCTTACGAAAAAAATACGACCATATCCTCGAAACTCTAGTCCAGCCGGGGATAAGATAACCATGCCAGTGGTTTAGAGCTTACTTTGCTGGTCCTTCTTCTAGAAATGGCTGAGAAATAAGGGTGGTCCGGATACTTCTTTGGTTTTACAGGGCTTTACGAACTTGTTGTATGAATTCGCACGAGGGACGCAGTGATGAACAATCCCGGGGACCAAGCCCTAAAGTATTGCGTAGCCTACCTTCAACTGTATGATTTAGCATCATGTAGTTGAGAGCTTAGCCTGTCTTAATGGCTTGCGTTGTATTTAAATAAAACTCATGTACATATATATATAGTTGCAGTTTGTGATACAAACACTGTTTCTACCTTCAACTCTATGATACAGCATCCTGTTCTTGAGAGCTTAAGCTGTCTAAATGGCTTTCGTTGTACTTTGATAAATCTCTGATATTTATATTAGGTTGTAGTCTCTGATCCAAACACTCTCTCTCCCTTCAACTGCATGATGTAGCATCACACAGTTGAAAACTTAGCTTGTCTAAATGGATTTCGTTGTATTTTGATATATCTCTGATATCTATATTAAGTTGTAGTCTCTGATCCAAACACTCTCTCTCCCTTCAACTGCATGATGGAGCATCATACAGTTGAAAACTTAGCTTCTCTAAATGACTTTCGTTGTATTTTGGTAAATCTTCAAATATATAAATATATATAAATTTGTAGTCTCTGATCCAAACACTCTCTCTCCCTTCAACTGCATGATGGAGCATCATACAGTTGAAAACTTAGCTTCTCTAAATGACTTTCGTTATATTTTGATAAATCTTCAAATATATAAATATGTATAAATTTGTAGTCTCTGATCCAAACACTCTCTCTCCCTTCAACTCTATGATATAGCATCATGGATTATATATATATATATATATAGTTTCTAATCCAAACTCTCTCTCTCTCTCCCTACAACTGCATGATGTATCATCATACAATTGAAACTTCACTTGTCTAAATGGCTTTCTTTGTATTTTGATAAACTCTTATATTTATGTAGAGTTGTGGTGTCTGATCCAAACACTCTCTCTCCATAAATCTCTTATATATATATATATATATAAAGAGTTGTAGTCTCTGATCTAAACACGCGCTATCTCTCTCTCTCTTTTAGTATACAAAGCCCTCGGCACACACTAGCCTTGACAGTTTTCAACCTCATACCTCCTTAAAGTACTGAAAAGTCAGCTTAGAACCACCGGTTACCATTCTTTACTTCCCCACTTCTTCCGCATTTTCTCACAAAATGGCACACAAGCTGAAGATTTTTCCGTCTCATTGTTATAATTCTCTTCCTGGTGGCAATGACTCTGGCTCAAGATCAACAGGATAAATCTAGTAAGTGGCATGACTTATACTTTATATCCTTGATTGCCAGATGAATTCAAGTCTTCTCCATTTCCAGAAAATTCACATTCTCTTCTTTCTTAAATAAAATCTTATGGCTGATTGTGTAACTGTGTGTGCAGAAATTGAAACCAGAGGTTGTTATCTTCCATTCTGTTGCTGCAATTGGAATCCTCTGGACTGTCTTATCCATTGGTGCTGTTGCTTCTAATGGACGCTCAACAAACAAGAACTGTGGACATTCTAATGTCCATGTGCGCAGCTCGATCTGAATCTGATTTGTCTTTGACTATGTGAAGAAGCTTGGTTCTTTTTGCTCAATGCAGTTACTAGGAAAGATGTGAAAAAGCGAACTATTGCGATCCTTGGTGATCACATGCAGCATCACATGCAGTTTTATGAATTTCCAACTCCAACGACGAATAAAGTGACTGTTTTTTTGGGAGTAAATTCTGTATTATTTCAATTTATAACAGATTTTATATTTTTCATTTGTATGATCTTGAAGTTTGTTTATAAGCTTATCATTAGTTACTACGAATCACATGGAGGTATGTCTCAGTCAAAAGTTTCAGCTTCTTTTTGAAATAACGTGTTCAATCAAAGAGTTAGAATATCTTTGCATCAAAGAAAAAAAACTTCTCTTCATATTTCAAGGAAATTTGATCTAACGTTGAACTAACAGTTTCTACATGTCATACTTTTGCAATTTCTTCAGATGGCGGATTTGATTTTCTAACTTTCTTTCTTTTTGAACCTGCAATAAATCTTCAATTGTGTTTGAAGTCAATCAAGATTTTATCATATTGATAATTATGAGATTAAATATGAAACATATATTTATATGGAATGATTGATTCAGATTCAGTAAGCGATCAATCTAAACCTTTAAAAACCTCTAAAAAACTCAGACAAAAGATTTAGAGCGTTTGTATGTTGAAATTTACCACAATTAAGAAAACCCTGCAAACGCTGAACAATTAAAGCTCAAACTTTATCATGTTGCACCTCTATTTTTCAAAGTTAATTTTGTTTTCCATTCTAACGGAAAAAAATTCTCAACAGTAACACAAGTTATTTTAGTTCCTTATAACGTTTTTCAAAAGTGCAGTGACCAGGGTCTATCACCATTTTAATCGTTATAGGGCAAATGTACAACAATAAAATTCACAACATGCATCTCACCTAGAGATGAGAACGGTCTTCATGTGTTTCAAAGGTGGATGGTTTTCTTCTTATCGATATCAGTTGAGAATTTAGGGCTTGGTTGTATTTCTGTCATTGAGTTGATCCAGCTGGCAGAATACATTTTCATGCCGGTTGTTGGAAGGAATCTCTGTTAAATCTATTGTTCTCGCATTGCAGTCAAATTAAAGGACGTGTGTATCTAATGAATGAGAAGCAGATATGACATGTCTTGCAATACACGAATATGAATATAGAGTTCCATTTGCTTCTCTTTCAGCGACTGATGGTTATTTAATATCAAGCTTACTGAACCAGTTTTAAGTTACGGCCAGAGAATTTATTCCATCCAACTTTTGAGGGACTAGCTAGACACGAGCAAGAGCCGGCCAGTCATTGGAGATGAACTAATCAGCCAAGATGTTAAAGTCCGATATGCTTGGAGAAGCAAAGACACAAGTCTTTAAGGCCATAGAAGGTTGAAGCATTTTCAAGCAGACCACATCAGACTAATTAGCCAAGATGTTAAAGTCCGATATGCTTGGAGAAGCAAAGACACAAGTCTTTAAGGCCATAGAAGGTTGAAGCATTTTCAAGCAGACCATATCAGACTGGACCTTCTCTGTACCATAAATTAATGGGTTGCCTGATGGTGTGTCTTCCGTATCATACATTGTTGTCTAACAGTGGTCCAAATAGCATAATGAATGTCACGATAATGAATGTCCCTTGCTATTCACAGGATTGAGTATGGGATCACCTTCAAGAGCCGCTGACGCGGCTCTATCAACCCTCTTCCGTGCAAGAGTGATTTAACACAATATTAGTGTGAGAATATTATCAGCTATCGCCGGATCTCTGACTTCAGGTTGAGTTGGATAATTTCCATATTACTCGGGAGGTGCAAAGGAGAGATGCCATATTTAAAAAAAAATCCATTTTCATTGCCATTTTCTACTCGGATACTCTGAAGTTACCACTAGTAATAGTATTAATCATCTAGGTTTATAGTAATAGTCTTTATTGTGACATAATATGTGCCATAGGACAGGGCTCAATTTTTATAATGCTTTTACACCATCATATATTGATTCTAGTCTTCAATTCGATAACCGAAAGATGTTGGTATATTACGTTTAACATGATGCCACAATGACTTTCTTCTTTGTCTTCTGACGAAGAAAATAAGACTAGCTATATTTTTATCATACTATAATATATGTTGAAAACACTTTCTCCATTTTGTGGAGAAGGTTGGTTTGTTAGTGTAGATACTCTAGAAGGTATATTTGGCCTGTTACAATTGTAATGGTGATAGGCCCTGGCCAATGCACTTTTAAAAAAGGTATAATGAACTAAAACAACTTCTGTTGAGAACTTCTGTTTTTTTTCGTGAGGATGGAAAAGAAACAAACTTTGAGAAATAGAGTTGCATATATATAAAGTTTGAACTTTTCCTGCGCAGCGTTTTCAAGGATTTCTAGATTGTGGTAAGCTTCAACTTACAAACATTTTTAACAGTTTTAATTGAGTTTTTTGGACTCATAGATTGATTTCTTATTGAATCAGAATCAATCGTCCATATAAATTTTTAATTAATATTTAATCTTATAAATATAAATATAAAAAATACTTGATTAACGTTAAAAAAATTTGAAGATTTATTGTAGGTTCAAAAAAGTAGGATTAAAAGTTAGAACATCTAATCTGCCATCTGAAGAATATGCAGAGGTGTGACTAGCAAAAACTGTCAGTTTGACGTTAGATCAAATTCCCTTGAAATACTAAGAGAAGGTTTTTTGTTGGATGCAAAGATATTTTTACTCTTTGTATGAACACATTATTTTTAAACGAAGCTGAAACTTCTGAATTCAACAAACCTCCATGTGATTCGTAGAATATAATTATAAGCTTATCAACAGATTTGAAGTTCAGACAAAAGAAAAATGTAGAACTTGTTATAAATGAAAATAATACAGAATTTACTTCACACTAAACAGTCACTTTATTCCTCCTCCGAGTTGGAAATTCATAACACGAAAGATTATGATGCTGCCTGTGATCACCAAGGATCGCAATCGTTTGCTTTTTCACATCTTTTCTAATGACTGCACTAAGAAAAAAAGAAGCAAGCTTCTTCACATAGTCAGAGACAGCTTAGATTCAGACCGAGCTGTGCACATGAACATTGGAATGTCCACCATTATTGTTTGTTGAGCCTCCATTAGTTGCAGCAGCACCAATGGATAAGACAGTCAAAAGGATTCTTGTTGCAACAACAGAATGGAAAATAACAACCTTTGGTTTCAATTTCTGCACACAAAGTTACACAAACAGCCATAAGATTTCATTCAAGAAAGAAGAGAATGTGAACCTTCTGGAAACATAGAAGACTGGAATTCAGCTGGCAATCAAGGATATAAAGTACAAGACATGTCACTTACTAGGGTTATCCTGTTGATCTTGAGCCAGAGTCATTGCCACCAGGCAGAGAATCAGAACAATGTAGAGGAAAATCTTCAGATTGCGTGCCATTTTCTGAGAAAATGCAGAGGAAGTGGGGAAGTAAAGTCAGAAAGAATGGAAACTGAACAAGATGCTTCTGTACTGTAAGGAGGTATGATGTTGAAAATAACCAAGGCTAGGGTGTGCTGAGGGCTTTATATACTGAAAGACAGAGAGAGTGTGTTTGGAATAGACACTACAACCTTTTTTTAATATATATGTATAAGACAATCATCAACTGTATGATGATATATCATGGAGTTGAAGACAGAGTGTTTCGATCAGAAACTACAACTTTATATATTAAAAGAGATTTATTTCAATACAATGATAGCCATTTAGAGATGTTAAGCTTTCAACTTTATGATGCTACATCATGCAGTTGAAGGGAGAGAGAGTGTTTGGATCAGAAACTACAACTTCATATATATATATATATATATATAAAAATATTTATCAAAATACAGTGACAGCCATTTAGACAGGTTAAGCTTTCAACTGTATGTTGCTACTCATGCAGTTGAAGGGAGAGAGAGTGTTTCGATCAGAAACTACAACCTTATATGTTAAAATAGATTTATCGAAATACGATGACAGCCATTTAGACATGTTAAGCTTTCAACTGTATGATTCTACATCTTGCAGTTGAAGGGAGAGAGAGTGTTTCGATCAGAAACCACAACCTTATATATTAAAATAGATTTATCGAAATACGATGACAGCCATTAAGACACGTTAAGCTTTCAACTTTATGATTCTACATCCTGCAGTTGAAGGGAGAGAGAGTGTTTAGATCAGACGCTAAAAATTTATATTTTCAAAGAGATTTATCGAAATATAATGACAGCCATTTAGACATGTTAAGCTTTCAACTGTATGATTCTACATCATGCAGTTGAAGGGAGAGAGAGTGTTTCGATCAGAAACTACAACCTTATATATTAAAATAGATTTATCGAAATACGATGACAGCCATTTAGACATGTTAAGCTTTCAACTGTATGATGCTACATCTTGCAGTTGAAGGGAGAGAGAGTTTCGATCAGACTCTACAACTTTATATTTTCAAAGAGATTTATCAAAATACAATGACAGCTATTTAGAAATGTTAAGCTTTCAACTGTATGATTCTACATCATGCAGTTGAAGGGGGAGAGAGTGTTTGGATCAGAAACTACAACTTTATATATTAAAAGATATTTATCAAAATACAATGACAGCCATTTAGACATGTTAAGCTTTCAACTGTATGATGCTACATCATGCAGTTGAAGGGAGAGAGAGTGTTTGGATCAGAAACTACAACCTCATATATATATATATATATATATATATATATATATATGTAAGAGATTTATCAAAATACAACAAAAGCCATTTAGACAAGTTAAGCTTTCAACTGTATGGTGCTACATCATGCAGTTGCATGATGTATGATGTAGCACCATACAGTTGAAGGGAGAGAGAGTGTTTGGATCAGAAATTACAACTACATAAATATATAAGAGATTTGTCAAAATACAATGAAGGACATGTGAAGCTTGTACTATATGATCAAACCTCTACTTCCTGGGCTAACAGAATATACCCGATCATAATTTTTTTAGTGACCAAGATCAGGTCTCTTCGAGTGACACAAATTTTTGAATTGAGTCTAGAGGTTCTCAAGGTCCTGAACAGTATAAGATATAGGATCAAGAATGCACCCACTTCGAAACCTCTTCACTTTCAAAACATCTTATTTTCCGAGTTCCTGCTCACTGTGAGTTGTCTGCATTCAGTGAAAAGATGGCAACATGGCTGCAATTTGTCTTCGTCATTTTCTTTATTCTCCTCCTTACAGGAATGACAGTGGCTCGAGTTCATGAAGACGAACCTAGTAAGTAACATCTCTCTATTCATATATCACTAATTCTCTTAGGTCCGCTTGATCATTTTTGAACTTTCATTACATTGCAGTGTCAATGATCATAAGTGAGTACTGACTCAACTATACTTAGAGTCACACATTCTGCAAAGGCATCAGATTCAGGTTGAGCTGTTTTGAGTGAAATCTGATCAATGTAATGTTTACTTGCTTACAGAGCTTCAAAAAAGCTGCTGGCTCCCACTTTGTTGTTGCAATCCGCAGGATACTTTCAGCTGCTTCGTCCATTGGTGTTGCTGCTAGATTTTACCATAGACTGTTCAGCATGAGTGGTAGAAATTCCAATATGAATTGGCGCATCTGAATGTGTGGAAAAGCATGTTTCTTCACACATCGGAACTAGTTAACTAAAGCCGATGAGTATATTTAAAATAATAAGAAATTGAGCATCACTATACTGCTTAATTTTAGCTCCTGTCATAAAAAGACATTGGTGAACTCGCGATCAATAAATATTTCGTTTCTTTCTCTGTTTAATTGAGCGAAAGGAGAATCGACGAATTGATAGAATGAACTACGATATGGTTTAAAAGCACTTGTATCTTGCGCGCTTCTGTGCACACCCAGATTTATTCAGTGAATACCTTTCATGTGGTCAAACTTAGTTCAACGACATGGATGTGGATGTATAGTGAGTTTCTGATGTCGAAGATTGCGAAGGTATAATGACACTAACCGTTGTATATACCAGGAGCAGAAAATTCATGTCCATCCTAAAGAAGCTGGATCGCATTTTTCGCATAGAATGAGCTGGGATTGGCTCTAAAATTTGCCATGATGCATAGCTATCATGGCAAATTTGTACCCATTGATAGCTATGCATGCACTATGTGAATTGCAAAGGTAATATTTTCCGAGTTGTACGGCCACCCAGTACCGGTATGTTTGTTCATAGCTTTGATCGATACTGAACCTTGAACTTACAGAGCAGGGCACTTAGGTGACTCATTATAATTATGTAGCACGAAACATGCAAAGTTTGGCTCTAGAGAGAGATAGAGAATTATGAATTAAGACGTTATCCCCTGTACAAGTCAAGAGAAATATAAACAAGAAGAACGAGGTCAAAATAGCATAATGAATGTCATGATAATGAATGTCCTTTGCTATTCACAGGATTGAGTATGGGATCACCTTCAAGAGCCGCGTCTGAGTACTTCAGCGTCGTCAACCCTCCTCCGTGCAAGAGTTGTTTGCCACAATATTAGTGTGAGAATATTATCAACTATCGCCGGATATCTGACTTCAGGTAGATTTGGATAACGTCCATATTACTTGGAAGGTAGGAAGGGGAGATGGTTGAGTTGTGGGTATGGAAATGTCCTAGAGTACTCTCGGACATTTCCACTTGGTCGTACCCACATGTAGTGGTGGTAATGGTCTTGCAGCTAATCGAGAGATGTCACAGTCTTGGTATGTGAAAAACATATCCCCAACAAAATACAAAGCTTTCATATCGTGAGAAATAGACACCTTATCATATTCTAAGCTTTCTTTTCACTGTGGAACAAGAGTGTACTTGTATGATACAGCGAATGTTGGCTATTTCATATTTAGATTCTTTTATTTACTCCCAAAGGTTTTGATACCTGCTCTGAAACCACAAATTTATGTCTTTGATTGAAGAACTCATCAAGGAAACATATATAAATATACAGATTTGACGTGAGGGAAAGCCTTTAAACAAAATTTAAGCAAACCCATTAAATACATATATTGAATTCTAGATGTAGAATGTTTCTAACGAGCATAACGGTGTGATGGATATCGGTTGATAATCAACTATATCCAACATTCACTCGGAATAATTGTTGAACAAGGTAACGTATGCACATAACTCACTATGTGGAAGTAAAAACGTTCGAGATGCTTACTGAAAGAAGAGACATATATAGTGGAAAATCAGTAGTGTCTGGATACCTCCTCCTATGCTATTATTATTACGAAGACGCATTAATTACACAAAGAACCTTCCTATGAAGTATAACTATAGTAGTGATCTAAAATGTTCAACACCCTCCTACTCGAATACTAGGTTTGTCCATCAAGAACTAAGAAAAGTTTTATTTTATTTTATTTGTTGAGAATATGAGTGGATTTCTTCTTAACGTCAGTGTGCAACTTGTGAACACTAAAGTACTTGCTGATGAAGGTGGAGGTATATTTGGCAGTTCAAAGCTTTGTGTAACTTACTAAACTTAATTCACTAATAAATTGTGGAATCACATAACTCGGATAGGAATTTGAAGTTTAATCGATCTCTTCCCGTCTCGAACTTGCTTCTTCCTAATGATTTTGTAATCATGTAAGCCCGGCCGGCTGCTCTGCAGTAAAGATATACTCTACAAGGATATTGACCACTTCAACTTTTGGGCGGCAGAAGGTTCAGTCAACTTCAAAATGCTTTGTTCTATAGTGTTTCACGATGGAACAAAGCAATCTCTCGTTTCACGGAGGTTCTTCGCGCTTTGATTGTCCATGCCAATTGAAATAGGAGTGCTAGAAGAACATCCGATTTTGTCCATTAGTCTCCGAATTCAAGTAGATTCCATCGCATAGAGACTAAGAGCTCGGTATTCAAAATTGCATCTCAATCAAGAGGTTGAACTTTGTTTCTTGGAATTCTAAGATAGTGATGATTAACCAATCATGAAGATGTAAACACTTGTGGAAATGTGATTGTCTAAATTCGCTTCATAGTTCACATTAGAGTAATCCTATAGCTTTTTTTACTCCCCGTTTACGTAGAAAATGCCAAAAAAAATTACGCTTAATGTAGCAAAGAATACCCTTGACGACGATCAAATGGAGCTCTTGAGACTTGTGCATATAACAACTGGACAGATTTGTGGCGTAGGCAATGTTGAGTCTTGGCCCTGTGAGATATAGCAGTTTGTCTACAAGTCTTTTGTATAAGATGGCATTGCCAAAAGGTGTGTCGGTGTTTCAGCGAAGCAGTATGATTCATCAAGTGGGATGAAACTTGATATGCATTCATCGTAGGAGAACTCAGCTAATATGAAAAGCGCATATGGATCTTGATGCACTTATAATCCTTCCGGAGTGTGTACAAAGTGAACACCTAAGTACTTGGAGATTGTACCTAGATCCATCATGGCAAACTCCTTCATGAGTGCAGTAGCAAAATCATGAATAAGTTGTGAATGACTTACTGTGAGATGAAG